GACCAAAGACATCAGCAGATGCCAGACAGGCCACCAATCATCACCATGGCTGTAGTTCCGATCCTCCATCTCCTTCAGGCGCTGGTGGCAATCATCCAACAAAAAACCCTCCCAACCCTACTTCGGCAAGACTTACGACAATGGAGCCACCCTCTCGCTCGTTGCTGTGCCCTATTTCCGCCCTACAGGCTAGCCCCTACACCGCAGGGCGCATTATCACCAACCATATCAGCCGACACAACCCACTGCCACCAACGCCAAGCTTTTGAAGATTTTTTTGAAATCAGAAATTTCAAGAGCTAATCCCACAGGCGAGCCCTCCTCACCAGCAGGACACATGGTTACCACCCCGCCATCTTCCAACCTCCGCGTACGGCCTATACTCACCCTACCCCTGTCGCACAACCCTATAAACTCTCCCCACGCTTCCTCCTCAAGCGACGAGCCGACCTCCTGCACCACATGTAGCTCACATGAGGAGGAACAGTAGAAGGCAAAGCTCACACGGTCCACAACGAAGTAGCCTCATTCATTCATCTTCATCTCCCGACGAGCCGACCTCCTCCGCCACATAGTTCGCGAGATTAAGGCTATCTCGGCAGCCCCCTTCAGATCACCATTCCGCCTCCAACCCCACCCCAATATGTTGACTAGATTCAAAGCATGCACAACCAATCAATTGTCATAAACCGGTAATCGCATCAACAAGCAGAAGCACGATAGACACCTCACCCTCGTTGTCCACTCTTTTACCCCCAGAAGTCCTTACCATCTGCTCAGACACATGGTTACCACCCCTATCGCACAACCCTATAAACTCTCCCCGCGCTTCCTCCTTAAGCGACGAGCCAACCTCCTCCATCACATAGTTTGCATGAGGAATGGTTACCACCCCTGTCGCACAACCCTATAAACTCTCCCCGCGCTTCCTCCTCAAGGGACGATCCGACCTCCTCCATCACATAGTTCGCATAACGAGGAATGGTAGAAAGCAAAGCTCACACGGTCCCACAACGAAGTAGCCTCATTCATCGTCATCACGCGACGAGCCGACCTCCTCTACCACATAGTTCGCGAGATGAAGGCTATCTCGGCAGCCCCCTTCAGATCACCACTCCCCCTCCACCCCCACCCCAAACTGATAATGAAGCATATGATCACCCTCCTTGTCCACTCTTTTGCCCCCCATCCCATTTTCCCACCTATTGAAGCATAGCGCTTCTTTGAACAACGAAATCGGGTGAAGCCTCTCAAAAGGAATTCAACCCAAACAAAATTCCTTCGATAGATCGTTGATGAGATTTATCTTTTCACTAGGATGTATAGAATACCATGATTCATGGATTTCAGAACTAGTACGTATGTTTAAGAATGCAAATCTTCAAAATTCAAATCGAGAACAAAACTTAAAGATCGTATGTAAGATGTCCCATAGGACTTATGACTTCCAATTCTTGAGCCACAAAATCCAAAAATCACTCAGAAAATTCAATCAGAGATTAAATCAGGATATGCTTAAGTATTACAAATCCATCAAGTAACAATGGACAAGTATATTAAATTCAAACATGATAAATCTACAAGTAATAGCGCAAGGAACGTTTTAGAAGCTAAAGATTCGACATCAAATTACGACTAAGTAGTAATTTTGCAAATTTCAATTCCCTCAGAATTTATGAATCAGCATCAACTACTGCAGAATTTCTAATTGAGAGATCACAGAATGAAGCAAGATTAAGAGGTCAGAAGATAAACAGTAGTTATTTGATTATGAGCTAACCAATCCGCACATGGGCGAGCTATCAGCCAACGAGTAACCTCCATCCCCTCTTCCTCAACAACCCCAACTTACCTCATCCCCCTCAAACGCTACCCCAGCATCTTCGGGGAAAGAAAGACACCCTTCGTCCCACCGCTAGCTACCAGGCTCTGGGGAATACTAACACCGAAAACATCGATGGCCATCGTCAATCCCCCAAGAGGAATCAAAGATAGTGTGGCACCTTCTCACCAAACCCGTTGGCAAGTCACCACAGGGGGTTCAAGCCGCCATATGAATCTACTTACCATCCTGTCGAGGAAGGAGGGGAAACCACTAAAACTCGACCTTCATAACCCTACCTTGATGTGCAACCTCCTTTCGACCCAATGCTCCCTCTTGAACAACCTTCCTCTTCGCACTCGACGTAAGAGTAGCATCACCGGCCACCATAGCCCACCTACCCATGTGGAGTCACCCAACACCCGGCGTCAAAGATGAGAGTAAGAAGAACCCACCACGCAGCAACTCACGGACCCAGCCGGCAGATGGCACACGCCACCCGAGATGGCTGAAAATAGAAACGGCAGGAAAAGGGTGGTGTGCAGCCACAAGCAAAGCAAGGAGGGAGTGCTACGTAATACAATCGCCAATCTGCCCGATCGCATCCACCCCTGCCATCACCCTGCTCCACCAACAGCGCACTCCTGCTTGCACAACGGAAATCCCCCGCCGTACACCATCGTGCCCATACCTCCTACCACTATCCTTCTGCCATCACCACCCTCCACCAACAACGTGCCCTTCCCGCACATTGAGGCTCCTCGTCATACCCACCATCCTTACTCCCTCACCGTGCCCTTCTTCTCGCCGCCACAACCGGCCACTCGCACCACTAGCGCATCGTGCCATATAAATAAAAATGCAGCATTCCGGATGAGCGTGCCTGGTCGGTCTGGGCGCAGCGCTCCCGGTAGCGCTTCCTAGCCAAAGGAGTCTCATGTTTTTGCCATTTGTCATTTTTCTAAAAGGTTGCCTCGTTTGTGTCTTTCATGCAGCAATGCACATCATGGGCTGGTATCGTATTGTTTGATGACTTGTCCTGATGTCACCAGCTTCGCCATAATGTCAAAAAAGTTGAAAAAACATGTATATGCATTTGGTCCATTGCTGCTGACGAGTCCAGCTAAGTACCAGGTGCATTTGCTTTGTTGTCTTGGGCCAAGGAGACTATCTATATTTTTTTACTGCCTTTGGCACTTGTTTACTCTCTCTCTCTCTCTCTCTCTCTCTCTCTCTCTCTCTCTCTCTCTCTCTCTCTCTCTCTCTCTCTCTCTCTCTTCCTTTCCTTCCGCGTTGCGCCCTGTCCTTGGTCGCTGGGTTCCTCTGCACTGCTGCGTCCAGTGCCAAGCGTTCAGAGCAAGTGGAGTGAACAAACCGGATCCTCTCTCTCCGTCTCTCTCTGTGCACGCTGTGTTTTGTCTGTGTTTTTTCTCCCGTTTGTGGTGTTCGCCCTTCCTCTCTCGCTCTCTATCGTCTCCTCTGCTCGTTTGTTTGGAATTACCATTTATTAACATTTTTCCCTATGCGCAGTTCTCACCAACATTCTGTCTTTTCGAGTACGAGGCCTACAGCTGTGATTTCCTCCTTTCCCCTCCCCCCCCTTTTTCTCACTCTCTTTTGAAAGTGTTTGCTCTGTCATCATCTTATTCAGTGAGAAGTTTGTCATTGAGAAGTTTGCATCTGGTCGCCTTTTTGACTGTCACTTTGTCCTTTGTCTGTTTAAGCACATGATATTGATGCATGCATCTGATCGCCTTTTTGACTTCTTTTGTTTGCGCTGCTGCTTTCCGCTGTTCGGGACGTTTTCTTCTCGCTCGGCGTAGGTCGCTGGGGAATGAGCAGAAGCAGCTAATGACAAGCGAAGGGATCCAGATACGGCTATGGATGGCAAATTGTGATGCCGATGAATGTGGTCCTGATCTCGGCTTGAATACTTGAGCACGCAAGAATTAGAAGCAATCAATACCAAGTAGTCTCCAGTACGACACTGGGACAACGAGGAGGATAGAGGGAAGAAAAGAAAGAAGAATAGAGAAATCAATGGAAAGAGAACGAGTGAAACGACTGATCCAAACTTTTCTGTTTTAGGAAAGTACAGCCTCGTGGTTTGTGACATTTGAGAGACATGGGCTAGCTCGATGTTTGAGAGACAAGGGCTAGCTTGACCTCAGGGATCTGATAGTGATGGTTCAACCGGCGTCGTTTGCTTGTGTAATCGTCCTTTGTCAATCGACAGTGGTCGCTCCATGTATGCCATCAAGACCGACAATTTCTGTTGTTCTGGAGGAGAGTGAAAGTAGAGAGAGAGAGAGAGAGAGAGAGAGAGAGAGAGAGAGAGAGAGAGAGAGAGAGAGAGAGAGAGAGAGAGAGAGCAAACATCTTGTCGCTCTATTTAGATGGCGGGATGGGTCGTGGCTGATGCAATTGACACCGACAAATTCCGTTCGTCTGGAGGAGAGCTCGCGTAGAGAGAGAGAGAGAGAGAGAGAGAGAGAGAGAGAG